GGATCCGTGGCCATTTTCCCTCCCGTGCCACGTGGTTGCGGCTTCCCGTAGGGAGGGGGGCCCTCCCTCCAAGCCGTAACCGCCTCCCCACCCGCCTTCCTGTCCTCCACGCCAGAAGTTACGTCGAGCAAGGTTAGCGTTCTCTCTCTTTGTGCTGTACTTTGTGTCATATTTTTGTGGTTTTAAAAAACAACAACATATGGTTCAGAACGGATTAACCGTAATTACATTGAACCTTATGGGGAAATTTGATTCGGGTCACGACCAATTCAGGTCGCGACCAGAGTCGCGGAACGAATTAAGTTCGTGAACTGAGGTACCACTGTATATCTTTGCCTCATACAAATAGGTTTCAACTGGAACACACAGTAAAATGTTTCATTTTTTTAATTATAAATTCTGTGAGCCAAAGTATTTTACATTTACGAGTCTGCAGTGTTTAAAAATATCACTGATCAGAGGTATTAAATTTTAGATTTTTGCTCTTTAAATTTTGGCCATATCTACACATCACTATGGAAAGTACTTTTCTCTGGATTGTGATCTAATCTAGTCTGGCATTTCAACCTGTAACTGCCAAATTCTGTTTCTCTTTCATTCATGAAGCAAAAGGTTCTGGGCAAGTATTTGGGCACCTCGACTTCAAGATTGTGGTAGATCCTGCAGATGCCCCCCCATTTACGGTGGTTCTTTTAGCCCCTTCACGGCAGGAAAAAGCAGCATGGACCAGTGACATTAGTCAGGTAATCAGTTTGGGAGGGTACTGCATAATTCATTCAGCATATGAATGTTGTCTCAGAGCTCATTATAATATTTATGAATTATTAACAAAATGTAATTGCTTAATTGCTTTGAATGCAATGCTAGTGAATGAGTGGCAGAATGACATAGCAGATAGTGTTTTGAGCTAGGAATGGGAAAACCTACACTTAAATCCTTAGTCATCTGTGAAGCTAATTAAGTGACTTTGGGCCTGCTACTGTTTCCCAGCCTAAGAACTTTAAGAGATTTTTTTAAAAAGAACAGGTGATAGAAGAAGAATGTAACATAAAATAAGATTTTCTTAAGTTTCAGTAGTTGGATCTATTATTTTTTTGTATCTTTTTCATTTGATTTAACATCTTAGCCCAGCCTTTTCTAATTTAAAGCCCCCAGATGTATTACATGTGTGAACTGTTATGCTGACTGGGAATTCTGGGAGTCCAACCTGAAGGGCACCAGCTGGAAAAAGCTGTTCTTAGTCCTTATGTACAAAGTCATCCGCATGCAGATGTTATTACTTTCCCTTTCCAGAATTCTTAAAAAAAAACTTGTATCTGGACATTTTCACCTGCATTTTGGTACATAGAAACAGTTTCCAAAGAAAATTGAACCAAAGACTATGAGAAGAATTGAAAGTGGCCAAATTTGGATATTCTGGAGTGGCCCGAAAGGGGGAATACAAGCATTTACTTTTTGATCTCATGTTATAATTAGTAATATGTCTGTGTTTTTGATTACATGGATTCATTGTGTTAATTATAAAACAGTTAAAAATAAATAGATTTGGGCCATGAAAGTAAGAGAATGGATCAGTAGTTTGGAAGAGTCACTGTGCAAGTTTATACTGCATTAATTGCTCTATATGTTTGTATCTTTTACGTAGTATAGATGATTTTGTACAGAAGTGCCAAGAACTGGAGTACAAAAATAGTTCATAGATGAAATACAGATTATACTCACATGATTGCCAATAGCATATTTCATGAAAAACTACTGCTACAAAAACATTTTTTTCAGTTAGAGTTGCAAGCCTTACACTAGGGCAACTCAGTTGTAGAGCAGCTTAGTTGGTCTCAGTTAAGCTGACAGTAAAGAAGAAACTAACAAAACAGCATTTATTTTTTCTCCATGCACTGGTAATATGATTAAAATTGCAGCTTTTAATCTAGTTAATTGGTATGTTATACAATTAAACCTTTAATTGCAGATTAAATTTGGCCTGTGATCATTTAATGAGGCTGAAACTAAAGGGCATAGCTCTTTGAGGCCACATGGATATATATTCTTGTTTACCTTCTGTGTGCTATATTTGAAGAGATAAAACAGGGCTGACTGTTTCCTCCTAACTATTTTATTGTATTAGAAACAATAGCAGAAAAATATTATTTATTCAAGTTACAGATTTAAAGAATGCCTGACTCCAATTGACTCTGTGTGTTTTACATAATAAAAAAAATTAAAACAATAAAAAATTATATGCATCCAGAAAAGCCAAATGAAACAACGTAAAAAATCTTACAAAGGCTCACCCCCCACCCTGCCCCAAGGCCTAGGAGAATAGCTAGGTTTTTAATGCCTTTCGGAACATTATTAGGGTGAGAGCCATATGGAGATCTGGGGGAATGCTGTTCCAGAAGGTAGATGTCACAACTGCTAGGCCCCTAAAGGTATATTGTTTAATTGAGGGCTCCCAAAGCGCACCTACTCTGATAGACTTTACTGGATGGGCAGACACTACTGGAAATAGGCAGTCCCTCAGATAACCAAGCCCTATGCCATAAAGGGCTTTAGAGGTAATAACCAACTGTCAGCCCGTCAAGGTAGACCAGACTAGGAAACCAAAGTCATGCATGCTAATAATACCTTTATTATAAGGTTACAGTAACAGAATCTTGCAAGTCTCAATGTGTTTCCCCTTTATCTTTATCTTCATAACAACTAGGGAGAGTCTTGTCTGAGATTCTTACTTGGATTATAGTTCTGCCCCAGACTCAGATTTCTTTTATCTGACCATAAAATAACTTTTTCTCCTTTTCCAAGTGACCTTAAAGGGCAGCCCCATGTAGAGCACATTACGGTAATCCATTCATGACGAAAATAGGGTATGAAGTGTCCCATTTCAGGATTTAAACTCACAGCTTCTAGGTGAAAACAGCAATTTACTCAAGGCTGAATAGATAACGGCAGACAAGGAAAGGAATGTAAATCAAAACAGAGTCTCTGGGAAAGAAAGCTTGCCTGGAGAGTTTCACTTTCAACAGGAACATGCAGAAGAGAAGTCAAAATCCAGTCCAAAGGTCAGAGAGCCAAGTCATGTTTGTCAGCCAGTCCAAAGATCAGAGTTGCAGGGTTTTTACGTGAGGAGGATTCACAGGCACAACACACCAGAGCAGGAGATCAGATGGTGGTTTCCAACAGAGAAACATGGGTCAGGTTAAATTAGGCTTCAGCCAGCTATCTTTAATTAGGATAGTTACTCCTTTGTTTGGCAAGGAGCCTCATTGAGTGTCTTTGCTGTGCTCTCCATTCTACTCTCTAAGTCCAAGAGCTTGGAGGCTATACTTCATCATCTGACTGCTCCAGCTGTTCTGATGGTGCCCGTGTTTGAACAGCATCAGGTGATTCCTGGCTCGGTGTCTCCTGAGGCTGACATTCCACTGATTCAGCTAGACCAGCTTCTTCAGAGTCAGAGTCTGAATCCTGGACCATGATGTGAAGGGCCTCTTGATCCAGGAATGGGTGGAACTGGCACACTAGATGAATCTGTGAAAAGGCCCTCTTGGCACAGCTTCCACATGCTATTTGAACAGTAGTTGTGAGTCTAAGGCAACCTCAGTATTGTGGACCAGTCTTGAATGGTCCAAGAAAAAGGACAGAAGATTCTTTTGGGCCAGGGGGCCAAAAATCCTCTTGATCTTGTCAGGATTGAGCCCACAGCTCTTCCTCCCCATCCAGACCTGTGTAGCCTCCAGACACTGGGGGAGAGCATCATCAGCAACACTTGGATGGCCCAGAGTCAAGATGTCAATAAGTATCATCAGCACATTGATAATACAAGGATATATAACCAACTGAGGATGATTTCACCTGTGATGGCCAGCTCAGATTCAGAGGTATCTGATGTGGAGAAAACTGCTCAGGATGCCCCAGAGGAATCCCAGTCTCCGGGGGTGGATGGAGAGCCTCCTAATCAGGCACCTGAGGCTGACTTGGTCAAGGAACATTGAAGTCTTCTGGAGGTAGCAAAAATAAGCAGAAGATCCAGAGTGCAACTAACCAGTATGCATCAGGCCTTTGATAACTTGGAACAAGTTACTATAGAGACCATGAACTCCTGAGCCACCCTTGACTCAATGTCACCTGGTAGCAAATTAAAGTCCACAAGAACCAATAGTCTTAGGGTCTCTGTGATCAGCCTGGTGATGAAATCTAGCAGTTAAGACAAAGATGATACTGTGAAACAGAGAGGCCAGTACAATAGCAGCAATCCCAATTATCCCCTAAAATCCAACCTCAACCAGAGGGTGTCAGATCCAGTTACCTATGTCACAGAGCCTCTGAGAGCTCTTAATGACTCATGGATGACAAGAGCCACCCCACCTCTCCTAGGCCTTCAGCAGATGCCAATCCTGGAACCTGAGAGGAGAATTCACCCCTCTGGGCTGATTCAAGTCCCAGTTTTATATGCCTGGTTGGGTGTCTCATCCATGATTAAATCATGGAAGAGATTTACAAACTGACTTAATGTTTAAGAATAACAGCCAGAATTCAGAGCCACCAAGGATCTGATAACCTGGCACATACAACTACAGCCATCCTAGCCCCCCATAGCAACACCAGGTACCAACCAGGTTCCTCCTGCCCTCAGCCGCTTGTGTGATGTCCAGTTCTAGTGGCAGTTCTTGATTCCACCTCATTGGCCAAACAGCCTCTTCCCTTTCTGTCCAGGTGGATAAAAAATTACAGACCTAGGCAGACAGCCAGATAATAAAGATTCTGGCCCCCAAGTCTGGAAAAGGGGTTCCAGTAGACCAATGCACAAAGCCCAGCCCAGAGGCCAGTCAGCTGAAGCATCAGCGGCTTCGAAATAATGTAGGCAAGGCCCATAGATGGATTATTTGGCTCTCAACTCGGCACCTTTCCATCACTCCCTTATTTAGGGTATCCTTTCATGTTTCACTCCCAAAAAGCACCCCAGGGGTCCAGGTCACTGTCACCACCTATTCACACACAGAATGTAGTACCAGAAACTCCTGATGGGGACTCAGTCAAAGCTGAGCTTTGCCCAGCCACCACCCAAGTTACATTCAGAAGGATATCACCAGTCACCAACTAGCCATCAATCTGACTGACAAACAACACCACACCAAGCCATAGGCTTCTTCTCCAGAGACCTTTCACGGCAATGCAAGTCTCCCACCAACCTCTCACCAACTTCCCACCAACTTCTCCACTGACTCTGCAGCCCAGCCCAGCCCTCCACTGGCAGCTGTAATCCCTTGCTGACCTGCTTTTAGATCTTGGATTTAATGCCTTAACGAATTGTCTTTCAAATGGTTCTGTGTTGACTCCAATTGAGACATAAAGTTGTATTAAGCTAGTCTATACTTTACAACTTCTTCCACAGTCATGTCTGAATAGATCAGAAAGAGTCTACTTGCAAGACTCTGTTTCAAAAAGAGACTGACCACACTTCCATATTTTAAACAAACTTCAAATGTATTAACTTCACATTTGGGAATATGCAACCCTCACCTGTAAGAAAAGATCATAAATATTTGAAGTTAAAAAAAAAAGTAAAATGAACATCTCTAACCAATACATGATTGGCCAGTCAGCACTGACTATAAGATGAAAGGCAGTTTCAGCCCAGTTGTTGATGCCAGGCCTATTTGCTGCTCCTCTATGACTTGCCACACCCTGGGTGATTATTAAGATGGAGTAAGCTGGGGCAAGCTCAAGTCTATTTGCCTCACTTTTAGTTAGTATTTGAATTTGATCTGAATCCACCCTAGAAATAAAGTCCTGAAAGCTTAATATTGAAATAAAACTGACTTAGCTTGGTTCAATATCTCATATGACTTTTCCCCACCCTGGACGGGTTCCACCAATTGCCTTCATGTTCTTGTCTGGAAATTATATCCCCATAGAGCAGTAGATGAAACTAGTGGAAGACAGAGTCCAGTAACTCTGGGAGATAGAATAGTGAACTGATTAATTCCCAAATCCATTATGAGGCTGCCCAGTTGACAAAAGCTCCTGGAAAGATCCACAGCAGCAGACTGTCACTTTTTGAAACTTAATCTTGTGACTATGGAAGATTGCTATTACAGAGGTCTCAAGGCATCAATTGTTTCCAGTAACCAGGAGCTGCTGTTTTCAGCCCCTTTGGACTGAATGAACTGATGCAAAAGGAATTTAAAACCTGTGATTTTGCATTGTTTCCAGGAGCAATGCATTTTGAGATGGGAAATACATTCAAAACAAACCTGGAAATATTATTCATTCATTTGCTTATTTACTGGAATTATATTCTGACCTTTTATCCAGGTTTGGCTGAGAGATAGACCTTGCCCCAAAACCACCCAGCGAGCTTCTGTGGCCAAAGTTAGACATGAATCTAGGTCTTCCTGGTTCTACTCCAACATCTTAATGTCTGCAGCACACTGACTCATTGGCAACTTCAGGGACTTTAAATAGTAAAAAGTTTAGTTTTGATTCTGAAAGCGTTCAAGAATCTGGCAGCTCAAAACTCTCTATCTTTCCTGGTAACTAAAGAATTTTTCCAGATAAAATTTTATTTTCTGTAATTATAGTACCTGAGATTTATAGTATTGAGGCAAAAATGAATCTATAATTTGTTTTTTATCATTAACTTGTGTAGTGTGTTGACAACATACGGTGCAACGGTTTAATGACAATAGTATTTGAAGAAAACTCCAAAGTCACTGTGCCACATATGATCAAGTAAGTGTAACTGAATTCTCATGTTACATATCATTGACTTGGACTATTTTTGTTTTAACTCAAATGCAGACTTCAGGGACAAAATAAAATCTAGCAATTTTATTTAATTGTATTGTTAATCCTGCATTTCATGGGGAAATACTACATTATATTGTCTGTCTGTCTGTCTATCTTTTTAAGTAATTTCCCTAGGGCAAAGATTTACAACCTCCTGGTCATGGGAATGCTAGAATTTCATGTGCACCTCATTAACAACCCTACAAAATAACTACTATTATAAATGTGGCCAGTAACAGAATACTCATTCATCACCATATAGCTTTCCTTCCGGGATGCTGGCTTTCAACTAAACTTACCTTTATATTTATTTGAGCAGTTGGACATATTTGCAGAAAGTAGTAAGTTGCAGCCCAGTGGTATTTCTGGAAATAGAAATGATGTTGAAAGCTAGTTCTTTTTCTTTTCAGCATATCCTTTCTAAATTAAAGGACTCTAAACAAACCAAACAAATTAAAGTCAACAGGGCTAGAAGGCTTCAGGCAAAACAACAGATACCCATAAGCATATTGGTGCCCATATCACCATACCACACCACACAAATTTGGCCTACAGAGAACCCATGAGACTTGATTCCATTGACCACAAATATGATTTTGATTTTATAAGTAGAGTCTACTTAAGGGTGTAAGCAGGTTTTGTTTCTTTATATCAGAAACAATCTACAATTTAAAGAAAATGTTCCCTGGCTTTCAAAGCAACATTTCTTATTGTTTTTCATATAATATTATGTAGATCTGATGCTCGTCTTCATAAAGATGACATTGACATCTGCTTCAGCAAAACACTGAACTCCTGCAAAGTGCCCCAGATTCGTTATGCAAGTGTTGAACGCCTTTTGGAAAGATTAACAGACTTGAGATTTCTCAGTATTGATTTTCTTAATACTTTCCTACATACTTACCGCATATTTACCAATGCAGCAGTTGTACTGGAAAAACTGTCAGATATTTACAGACGGCCTTTCACCTCAATCCCTGTCAGGTGAGTTGTTTTCTACTTTTACTAATTTTTACTATTTTTGTGGGAACATTGGTCATAATAGCCATCCTGCAAACTGTATTATATATTAATGGTTTGATGTGACAAAAATCACTTAAAGGATTCTTTAATCTCTCAGTAGCAGGGTGATTTAATCACCCTGGAGAATTTTCCTGTACAAGGGAATTTCAGAATTTGCAAGTTATCATCAATACATTTCAATTTAAATCTCTAATTCAGTTGTCAAATTCCAAGTGGACAAGCTGTTCCCTTACATATCTCAGATTTTGAAAGTTATAATCTACATTTTCAAATGCACTCAACACACATTGGAATCATTTTTTAAAAAAAAAATCTATTTATTTGCTGGAGCAGCTGTGAACAAAAGATGAGGTGTAACATTCTAGACAAGCTGTAATCCAAGGGAGCCCCATACACTACATTAAAAAAAAAAATGAAATCTAGAGGTTACTATATGGGCCATGCATACAGTGTTTAAGGTTTTTTTTTTTTGGAAAAAAACACATATAGCTGCATATTATCTGAAGCTGGTTTTTTTTTTTTTGCCCCCAGATGATATTTAGAAATTAACTCCCAATTAGCCAATCAGCTATGACCAACCAGAAACCCTTATGTTTGATTGGACAGACAATCCTATTTGGACAACCACTCCTGGGGAAGTTATGGGGTATCTGAAAGCCCATCTTTAACTAGATAGTGAGCTCTCCAGAATACAAAAATGACTATGGAACACATAGATATAATAATGTGAATAGGGATGTTCCATGTAAACACCTGGGCCTGTCTAAAATACGCAATGTTCTGTCCAAATGGAAAACAGTGAGGAAACAGTAAGCTACTAGTAGTAGTGCACAACAGCAGAGCATAGCAACAACTAAGGAAAGGTAAAGGGTAGAGCAGGAAGGAATGAGCTGGGTAGGTATGCCATGCTTGATTCAAGTGTAGTGACCAAGCAAAAGGAAGGCATTAGAAAGATTGGTGGACAGGCTGACACAAAAATAATGCAGAGGAATGTGGAGAGAGATACCAGCCTTGCCTTACTTCACAAGACCCCTCCCATATTTATCTTAGCCAAAACCTGGCAGTTCAGCCGGATTCCTGATCACCATGAGCTCATTCCATATACAGAACAAAGCTTGCACAGCACTATATGTGAACTGCTACCTATACATTAGGATAGAAAGAGATTCTGTCTTGGCTTTATTTTGTGGAAAATTACATTCAGAAATACTATAGTCCTGGAAATTTTCTACATTGTATTTAGAACCACCTCTATATTTAAAAAAAACAAACAAAACCAAAAGCAGGGACTAGATAGTTTGAACATTCTGCCACACATTCTCCAGATAGGCATCTTGGACTAGGTCCCTGGGAAAGAGAGGCCCTGCCTATAAATGTGTTAGCCTAATCTCTCTGACCATTGTTTAAGTGTTGTTGCCGATCAGAATACTTGGCTGGCACCATCTAGACCCAAACCAGCTAGGTTGATCTTCCTAGTAGATAGCTATTTCATGCCTACTAAAATCATGGATTATAGAAGCCAGTTCTGTATCTTGGCCTTTTCATTTTCTAGGATTTGTCTAATTGTGTTTTGGTTTTATATATTCTCTTATAAACTACTTTTTAAAGGTAGTTCTAACATGGTACTTTTCAGAATTACTTCTGGATTTTTTGGTTTGTTTTCTAGGTCTTTGGAACTGTTTTTTGCTACTAATCAAAACAATAGAGGAGAACATATGGCTGATGCAAAGTCACCACACCTCTGCCGCAAATTCTCTTCCCCTCCACCTTTATCTCTCTCTAGGACTTCCTCACCTGTCAGAACAAGAAAATTATCATTAAATTCTCCACAAAATTCAAGAATAGGAGCATTAGATCTATCTACTTCTTCTGTTAACAGTCCTACCTCAACATACAGCCCTGGAACATCACCACCCCCTATGTCATCTAAAGTACCACTGGACCTAAGCAAAAGTCCTTCATCTCCAGAGCAAAGCCCTGGTTTTGCAGAAGACAATTCAGAAAGCCCACGGAGCGAGCTTTGCAACAAGCTACGAAGAAGCATTCAAAGAGGTATCTATCATCCATCCATCCATCCACCCACCCACTCATCTATCCATCTATCCTTACCTACCTACCTACCTACCTACCCACCCACCTACCTACCTATTTCATTATATTATATGACAACTTTATAGTGTAGTTTTCTTGAACATGATCTCCTCCAAGTGTTGGAATTAGAAATTTTACAGTATGCAAATATCCAGGTAGTGGCTAATGTTTATGCTCTCTGGAAGTTTGGGAGTCTCTAGAAACTAGTTTAGGGAAGGTGCTATGTATTGCAGTTAATGGCTACTTATAGTTGATGTGGCAATTGGGATATTCTAGGACAGTGGAAGTGGCTTTGCTGATGTTTTGTGTGAGCACTGCCCACCAGGTCTCTGACACCACTATTTCACTTACATTTTATCTATGAAATGAAGTAGAAAACAATAAGTAGCTAATATTCTACAAACTTTCTTTCTGAAAAAAAATAGTGATTCAAGAAGTTTAGAAAAATATATTTTATTTCTTTCATTTATGAAAGACACTTATTTGAACAGAAAAATCTGGAAGATTTTGCAAAATTCTTTCTTTTCCATTTTCTTAAATAGGGTTTCCCTGATATTTATGTATGTCTATCATGCTTTTTTAAAGGTATGGCAAATGCCCTTTTTCTGAAAAGAAAAATTGACTGGCCCAGAGCCTCCCAGAGAGCTCCATTATAGGGCATTTAAGTCAGCTCTTCTCAAAGCGAGTCGAACATTTTAACTAACACACCATTATTTCCTTCCCTAGAAGCACATCCATTTTCAGTATTTGCCCATACCTTTCTCGAGTGATGTTTTCTGCTAATTTAATTCTATTTAGAGATGTGATGAAACATTAGCTCAGCAAGACTGTGCAGAATTTGAGTTATCCAACTCAGCTGTAATAACACTTAGTCAAAATCCTCTTTTTAGGCATTCTTGAACCTTTTCTCCCTCCACCAAAGCAAGGATCTACAGTTAGGGTAGAAGCAGAATTGTTACTAGGCAGCTGCACAGCCAGATAGAAGTTTTTCTTAAGACAATTTAAAGATGTTCTGCCTGAACAGCCTGATATGTGACACTAAATACATTATTGTCAATCATGTGTGTTAATGTTTACTTAATACTTGTATCATGTATGCAGAATCTGGATATTGCTATTGCTAGAAACAGGAAAAAAAGTTTGCTTGGGCATCACTCTTTATGTATTGTAGTTGCTGTGCAATAGTCAGTTACTATGAAGTTAATAATAGTTTAGAGGCATCTGTTCCACTTTGCATTCATTTTCTTGGGAATGTCTTCATACTTTTTCTTCCTTTGGTCTGCCAAAGGGAGCCCACCGGGCCCAGCTGGGGAGGAAGCAGCAGGATGGAGCTGGCAGTTTGCGCAGGGCAGGAAAAGCGTGAGGTCCTCACCTAATAACAGTGCAGTCCTTGCCTAACGATCACAACCGGGACTACCAGAATTGCCATTGCTAAGCAGTGCAGTCACCTAATGTTTTGCCCAACAACCACTTCACTTAGCGATGGAAATTCTGGTTCCAGTTAGGATTGTTAAGTGAGGACTACCTGTAAATAATGTGTGCGAGATTATTTTCAGTGAAATTTAGCATACCGTATAGCACATTGTAGATATATTACCTTTTTCTTACAGACTCTGTTCAGTGTTAGTAAAATCCAGGCTACAGTCTATACCTTTCAAGTGTTCTACATCAGTTGTAGAGTAACCATACTAACCTACCCTGTGAAATACATAGTTTAGTACTTTGTTGAAAATATTGTCTAGTTTTTATAGCAAACTCCCACTTATCAAGTTACAGTAATTTGGAGAATAGGCTTGGCATTAACATCCTTTCTCTCTTCTTATATTTAAAAACATTCTATAGTTAGAGAGTCACTGGCGAATTGTGGACATAATTAAAGATTCTCTGTTACTGGTTTTCTTTTGAAAATATATCCCTTTTGGGCTTCTGGTAAGTGCCATGGCAAGCTAGACGTCTCTGCTGAAGCGGGACAGCGTTTATGGAAAAGATCAATGGCTGGATGCTGGATCCTGGCCAGTGAAATCTCTCCAGAGAAAGGAATGATTGTGTGATTGCCCACATGCACTCTGGACAGCCGCTCCTTGTGAGTAGACCTCAGGAACCAAGATTTTGCAGTCGGCTTATGAGTCGAGCAGCTGGGAGTTGAAGGATACCATCTAAGCTCACAGTTGTAATGCAGCCTTTTATGGACAAAAAGCTCGACTGAGCCTCATTTCTTAATCACCTTTGGAATTATTTTTTACAGCATTGGAAATATTAAGACTTTTTGGAACAGCAAGTTTTTATTGCATTCACTAGGTGAGTCTCCTCCTCCTTAACAAAAGAAGTTTTAAATATGATTTTTAAGGACTTGGAAAAATATTATTTTTTGAAATAAACAGCAAAAGGGTGTTTAGAGTGTTGATTTTGGAAAGTTAAAAACAGACTATGGGTCCAGATGGATTTGGAATAAAATTTTAAATTTAATTATAAACTGTGGGAAACTGTGGCTGTTTGGATTCTTCAGGGGAAAAAAATGATAGAATGGGACTTTGAAGGTTAGACGCTAGAGGGAACTAGAAGAAAATAAAGATTACAATTAAAGGAGAAGAATACTTAAATTTGACTTGTTAACAAAGAATGGAATAAAATACTTTTAACAGTGGATGCTTTGAAGAATATTTTTAAACGATGGACTCAGACATTAATTTTAAGAATGTCTCGTACCATAGATAAATGGTATGTTAATGATGTCACAGAAGAATAACAAGCTCTGCCGGATAAGACTGAAATTAATTTGAATGTGGATTTAAATATTACAAGTTACAAGAATGATACACTGGACATACAAATGAAACTGGTTGATATCTTAATAATTAAAGGGGACACACAAGTACCAAACCAGAAGAGTGATTTGAATAACCTTTTCTTACTGGATGTACAAAAGAGATCTGTTAAAGTCTTGAAGGATTCTCTGAGAAGGGAGAAAAAGCAATATGAAAAGAAGTCAATTCTAGGACACTATTTGAAGGGATTAAAAACCAAGATTGTTAAAAGTACAGGGAAGGAATATAGAGTTGGTTTATTTGATCACAGTTAAAATAGATATGTAGTTATTTCTGGTAACCCTTAATGGACTTTCACTGATAAGGAATGAATGACAAGACTTTTGGATTTTGTTTATAGTTAAGAGATGATACATGGGATGAAGAAAGTGTCTGTTGTATTTTAAAAAATGGTGATAAATTACTAAAATTTTTATGCTTGTTTTGATGAGGGGGGAAGTTAGTTTATATACTTTCTTTTTTTTTCTTTTCTACACTTTTTCTTTTTATTCTTATATTTTTTGTAGTTTGTATTAGTTTTTATGTTATCTAACTGTATTAAAACTTATTGTATAAAAAAAGAAAATATATCCCTTTCTACAAAAAAAAGTCATTCCCATTTATCATCAGGAAAGGGAAAACAAAGGCTATTTTAGTCATATAGTCATAATGGGCAACTTCAAAATATAAAATTCCGCATAGTCAGAGTACAGTGGTACCTTGGGATACGAACGCCTCTACTAACAAACTTTTCGGGTTACGACCAGCTCCGGCCGCAAAAATTTACCTCGATGTGCGAACTCCGCCTCGGGGTACGGTCATTTTTCAGCCCTGACACGTGGTCTGCAGCCATTTTTGCACCCCTGACACGTGGTCCGTGGCCATTTTCGCGCCGCGCCGCACTGCGCCTGGCCGTTTTCGTGCTGCGCTGTGCCCGGCCATTTTCCTACCGCGCCCAGCCGTTTTCCCACCGTGCCGTGCCGCGTCCGGCCGTTTTCCCGCCCCTGATGTGTGGTCCGCGGACGCCAGAACGGATTAACAGTAATTACATAGAACCGTATGGGAAAATTTGCTTCGGGGTGCGACCAAATTCGGCGGAGGGCAGAATGGATT